CGTCAGGGGCCGCGATAGGGCGCCGGCAGGGGCCTCGTCAGGGCGCCGCCAGGGGCCGCATAGGGGGCGCGTGGGAGGCGGCGTAGGGGCCGCGTAGGGGCAGCGTAGGGGCCGCTAAAAAAAAAAAATTAGGGCAGGGCGCAATGTGCGCGGGCAGCTAAAAAAAAAATTCTTATGGTGGGCCCTTAGGAAGGAACGGTCCCATGTAGGAACCCGCTCTATACCATGTGAAACAAGAAAACAGGAATGAAATGACTAAGTGAAAGTTGGGTACAAAAGGCAAACCCTAGGCAACTGTACCCCATATGTGCTACCCCACTATAGCCTACAGTAGCTATGTCATATAACTCTGACAGAGAAATATGTTATCACGTTCACTGAAGCTTCTACTCGATACGTCTGGACTGGTAACATGACTAACCGTTTTCTTGCTTTCACAGCGTTTCAGACATGGCTACCTCTCGCAGAATGCGAGTCCGACACAAAACTCAAAAGCTTCCAGTGTGACGGAGCTGGGGAATATTGCAGCCTCGAGTTTACAGCGTACCTGCAAGAACGAGGCATACGGCGCCTGTTCTCACTTCCTCACGCTCACCAGCAGAGCGGTGTAGCTGAACGCCTCAATCATACTTTGCAAGAAAAGATGCGAGCACTACTCGCACTGTCCCAACTCGGCCCCCTCTACTGGCCCTTCGCGATGGACCACGCAATGCTGTTGCACAACCTCCTGTCTTCATCGGCTTTACCAAACAACGCATCACCTCACTTGTTGTGGACAGGAAAATTGGGCACTACGAAACTTCTTCGAGTTTTTGGGTGTGTTGTGCAATATCGTCCTCCCACCGCTCCGCTCGGAAAGTTCGATCAACGTGCTAAGTGGGGTCTTCATCTCGGCCTTGAGAAGCAGTTTTCTGCATGGCGTATTCTGGATTATCGCAGTCGCCTTTTAATTCCTGCCCGCGACTGCATTTTTTACGAAAATCTGACCCTTCCTGTCTTCGAACAGTACCTCGCCACGCAGCGTGATCCTGCTACACTTTTCCACGGTGTTCGCTCATTCGCCAGTGCTGACGCCGAACTCGCTGCCAGCGAAGAACCTGACATTGACGGTGCACGTGAAGCCGCTCCTGATCCACCTATTCCAACCACGTCTTCCGGATTTCCGGAATTCATTCCACTCGTTGACGCTCATCCCGACAATGTTCGTGAAGTTCATCATACTTACCTGGTGGACGATCAACGACGTCCCATACCAGCTGTAACTGACAGCAGCATCCGCGTCGATCCTGACGAAATTGGGGGGGCAAATGGTGAACAGTGTGAATCTTTCAATTTCGCAGGACGGACCGACGACAGTCCTAACTATCAAACTGGGCTTCAGATACTGGGACTCGCAGCAGCAGTACAGCATAATTCTTCAGAAGTCGCAGAACCGAAAACTGCCCGACAGGCCCTTTCAGGACCACATCGCGAAAAATGGCGTGAAGCCATGGATCGTGAACTGGCTGCCCTGGAAAAACGGGAGACTTGGGATCTCATACCCATCGAAAAAGCTACAAATAAAAATATTCTTACCGGAAAATGGGTTTTCAGGGTGAAGACGAAAGCTGACGGTTCTTATGAAAAACATAAGGCAAGGTGGGTTGTTCGTGGTTTTGACCAAACTCATAGGGTTGACTACACGCTAACCTTCGCCCCGGTCAGCCGACACACAAGTGTTGTCTCGTTATCTGCGAAGAATTTTCCGCTTCGACAAATTGATGTCTCCAACGCGTTTCTATACGCTGACGTCGATGCTGAAATCTACGTCGAATATCCACATACCTATCCGACAAATCCGCCAAGTGTCTGCAAACTCAAGAAGTCACTGTACGGCATCAAACAAGCTCCGCGACTGTGGCAGCAGCATTTGAACATGAAACTTACAGAGGTTGGATTCCGACAACTGCCGCATGACCCCGGAATGTATCGACTAGACGACAAGGGGAGCTACGCGCTACTCGTGGCTTACGTGGATGATATTCTCTACGTAAGTTCTTCGGCTTCTCTGGGTGATCGCATCGAAGCAGATCTGAAGAAGTCCCTCGATTTAACTGTCTCCACCGAAGTAACCCAATTTCTTGGTTAAACATTTCGCGAACTTCTTCCGCAATCCACCTCACAGCATCGAGGTATGCTGAGTCACTCGCTAAGCGCTTCAAGATTCCTACAAGTTACGTCGCTACACCATTTCGGTCTACACCCACCGGGTACATCCTAAACAACACCAAACTTTTGGCAGCTGGTCTACAACTGTACCAGCAGCAACTCGGGTGTCTTCTCTTCGCAACAGTCACGTGCCGTCCCGACCTTGCTTACGTCGCAAGCTATCTCGCACAATTTTTACGCTGCCCAAAAGAAGAACATCACCTCGATCTTCAGCGCGCTCTACACTACTTTGTCGCAACACCCACAGTCGGACTGATTTTCAACACAGGAAAACCAACCGACAAAATGTATCTCAGCGGATATGTCGAAGCAGACCACGCTGGTGACACGTCAGATCGCCGGTCACGAACAGGCTACATTTTCCGTCTCGAGCCCATTGGTCCAATCTCATGGAACTCATCGAAACAGGAACTCGTGTCACTTTTCTCGGCTGAAGCAAAATTCATTGCCGCGTGTGCTGCAACTCGAGAAGGACTATACTTACAGGAACTGCTCGACGAAGCGAAGTTCGTCACACCGAATCAGTTTACGTTGCAGTGCGACAACCAGAGTGCGATTACCATCGCCAACAAACCCGGCTTCGTCAATCGCACGAAACATATTTCACTACGTTACTTCTTCGTCAAGGATGCGATCGACAAGGGGAGAATGCGCCTTGTCTACTGTCCCACTGGTGACATGGCAGCTGACTCACTTACCAAGAAGCTGACGCGACAGAAATTCCACCACTGCAACCAGCTCAGCGGAATTTCCGAGACAACCGGATAACTACACCGAACTCCTAGAAGTGAAGGGGAGTATTGAGATAATATCGAGACTTAAGCACTTCAAGGAAATTCGTGTAGTACAGTAAAGTACCGATAGGCTGACGTCAGCAAAGCGCTACGCGCCATAGGATGACGTCAGCACGTAGCTATAGACTTCGCGAATAGTTACGTACCGTTTCAAGATAAAAATAGCACAGTACAGTAGGCGAACAGGTACTTTACTCTAGCTATATATTTTGTATGTTTGTCATTTTATAATATATCTGATTTCAGAGACATCGATCCTGAAACATATCACTACATGGACTTTTATTAAAGTTCAGACAAAGCTTTCATAACAGGCTTTAATATAAGACTTCCGCTACGACAAGAAGCTACCATCCTAAGTAGTACGATCCTATTCAAATCACTTCAAATTCTAACAGAGGCGAAAGAAGCAGCGAGACTCTGTGTAATCAGTGCGGGTGCAAGCCGCGCCAGGGTGACCTGTGCCACGGATGTACCCACAGCGAGCTAGGCCACCCGAGCTGCCACGCCTGACTGCCCACTCCCAAAGCTGTTGCGACAAGAGCTGCAGCTGTCCACCCCCAGAGCCGCCTCCACCACCGGCGGCACCACCAAACGTAGCAGTGCGCGTAGTCGAGCCTCCAGCTCCACCCCCTCCAGCTTCACCCCGAGTGCCACCCCCGCCCCCTCCACCACCCCCACCGCCGCCACCGCCCCCTCCTCCCCCACCACCTCCACCACGACCGCCCCCGCCACTACGACCGCCACCCCCACCTCCCCCACCACCCCCACCCTTGCCCCCCTTGCCTTTGCCGCTCTTGCGCCTCCCAGCAGGAGCAGACGCAACACCAACCTCATCAACACCAAGGAAGTCGACAGCTGCAGCAGAGGCAACAGAGGACACGAGCAGGGAGGGGGAGCACCCCTCGAAGACGGAGGGGAGGGGAGTGCCACGGGAGGCAGCTACAGCTAGGGCAGCAAACTCAGCCTCTAAGAGGCGTTTCTCAAACGAGTCTATGGTGACTTTGGTGGGGTCGAGAAAGAGGAAGTGATCACGAACAACACGAAGCGTGTCAGGGAGGTGAGTCGTGAGAAAGTAGAGGGTGAAATACATGGGGGGCTTGTTCTCGGCCAGAAATTCGGCATCTAGAGCAGCACGGTAATGGGTGTCAAGGGAGCGCAGGTGCGTGATGAGGTCGGCTACGGTGGTGAAGTCGGCGAGCTCAGGAAAGAGGAACTGTAGTGCCAGGCAGCCTATCATGGCAGAAGACGAGGAGGAATATAGTTTGACTACAGCGTCGTAAAGCGCTTTGGCCGTCTTAAGCCGGCGAAAATGAGAGCGCTGGTCGGGCGGAATGTGGTTACGGACAGCAAGGGCTGCACTGGCGTCACGAGTGGTCCACCAAGAACGAACTTTCTGGTATGTGGTCTCAGTAGGGCTAGCGACAGACCCGGAGGTATGCTCAAACATTGAGATATCCTCCCTAGTGACACTCTTAAGGAACCACTCTAAGTCCCCGAGCCAGTTCTCAAAATTGATCGGGTGCCCCTCGGCATCACTACAGAAATCATCTCGGCATCACTACGAACCGACAAACAACTTCCTTCTACACGCTACGCAACAATACAGCTGGATCCGGCAACGGAACAATGTGGCCAGCTTCCGAAGCTAGAGCACAAGTAAGCGAGGCGGATAAGTTTCAAAAGTGTGAAGGTGGAGGAACGATCTAGTATGGTACTTTCTGAAGTGGAATCAGTGTTCTTAGGGCTTTATTAATGTATTGAGGAATTCCTCGAACAGATTACCCAATGCAGTAACGCTCGACGAAACCAACAAATTCGCCAAACCTTTACTCAACCATAAAACGTTGCCTGTGGCGTAGTGAGTCAAGTTTTTTCGAAGCGCCATAGCTCATTTTCATCTACTACTAAACCGCAAAAGCATGCCCAACAAAATATGAACTTTCCTGCTGCGATGCCATGTAGACTCCGTAGAAGCGCGCCGAACAGTCTGTCTGCATGCACGCCGCGGCGGAACGCACCCACGCGCAGCAATGGTCGCTCTCGTCTGCCTCCTCCGCGCGACTCCCGCGCATTGCCAACCCTCCGCGCCTTTCCGAACCTCCACGCGTTTCCAAACCTTCGCGCTTGAAAGACCCGCCCCGCCGAACTGCCGCTCCGCCGTCCGCGCCGTCCGCCACTTCCGCGCCATCCGGCGGCGGGGACTCCGCACCAGCCCCGCGTCCCCTTACGGCGCAGAGCACGGCGGAGAGGGGCGTGCGGGCGGTGTACGAGGCGCTGTCGGCGCGCGAGAGGCGCAAGTTGCGCGCCGCGCTGTTCCCCCTACGAGCGCGCGCGGCGGAGTCGGCGAGCGCGGTGTGGCAGGCGAGCTGGGGGGTGGTGGCGCGCCTCGTTGCTGCGGAGTTGGTGCGCGCAGCCCCACGTGCTCGCGCCTCCCCACACCACTCACCCCCTCTCTCTTTCCCTACCTCTACCCCCACCTTTCTTTCCCCACATTCTCCCCCCCAGTTCTCTCACTCCACTTCTTTCCCCCCACCTTTCTCCTCTCACCTCTCTCCCCGCACTTCTCCCCACCTGTCTCCCGCCACCACTCTCCCTCCTTCTCCCCACTCCACGTTACTCCCCACCTCCGCACCACACCACCCTCCTGCTGCCCGTCGCCTCCCCTTGTTCAGCCCCTCCCACTATCCACCCTCTCCTCTTCTTCCTCTCCCCCCTCCACCCTGCTCGATGAGAAGGTCTGAGCCCAACCCCTTCCCTCCTTCCCCCCCCAACCATCGCCCCTCTCCCCACCTCCCCTCCCCGCATCCCTCTCCGCCTCCCCCTTTCCAGAGTGAACCGGGCACAGGGGAGGAAGGAGGGGGGGAACGGGCGGGAGGCCGCAGAGGAGCGGGTTGTAATGCGGAAGCACAGGGGGTTGGGGAGAGAGGACGAAAGGAGGCAAGACAGCAGCGAATGGAAGAGCAGAAGCAGGTGTTCTGTGTGGTGGAGGTGCTTTCCGAAGGAGTGGTGAGGGCGGGGAGAGGCGCAGTGGCGGCGGGGGAGGTGGAGGAGCTGGTGTGGGCGGCCTTCGTGAAGAGCCACGAGGCTGTGCTCACCCCGGAGCACTGGAGCAGTTTCGTCCCTCTGCTGCTCAAACTGGTACGCATCACACTGGTGTGGTAGGTGGTGTGTTGCTTTGGTGGTTGATTGTTACACTGGCAAGAGTTGGACGACACATGCCAGCAACGAGCTGATTCAATCCCCGCACCGCATGTATTCCAAATAAACCACACGCCCTCCCGTTTGTTCTTCTGTGTCACGATTTCATCCACCTGCCCACCTGCCCGCCGTCAGGTGGCGAGGCACGGAGCGCTGCTATTGGGCAAGCGCAGCAACGGGCAGCTGGCAAAGAACATGACGCACTGGCTGCTGCACTGCGCTGTCTTCGCTGCCCACGCTGCCGTGAGGGAGAGGGCGCTCGTGGGGCTGCTGCTCCTCATCGCCGTACGCCCTCCTGCCCTCCTGCCCTCCTGTCCTCCTGCCCTCCTGCCCGCTTGTCTGCCTGCCTGCCTGCCTGCCTGCCTGTTTCTTCGCCTGCCTGCCCGCCCGCTCACCTGCCTACCGGCCTGCCTTGGCAACTTCTCCCTCCCTCTCTCCCTCTCCCTCCCTCTCCCTCCCTCTCCCTCCCTCTCCCTCCCTATCCCTCCCTCCCTCCCTCCCTCCCTCCCTCCCTCCCTCCCTCCCTCCCTCCCTCCATCCCTCCCTCCCTCCCTCTCTCCCCCTCTCCCTCCCTCCCTCCCTCCCATCCTCCCTCCCTCCCTCTCTCCCTCTCTCCCTCCCTCCCTCCCTCCCATCCTCCCTCCCTCCCTCTCTCCCACCCTCCCACCGGCCCTCTCTCCCTGCCCCCAGGTCCGTATGCAGCGCTGTCCCTGTCGCAACCCGCTCACTCCCACCCACCCATGGGCAGCATCCATTGCATTGCACAAAGCTGTTCCGTGATGCCAAGCACCGTGTCAATCCACGCCGCCCGCTCTGCTCGCTCCCTCACCTGCCCACCGCCTGCTGCTGTTTCCGTGCACCCCCGTTTTCTTCTCCTCTTCCATCATTTCCCCCTTTTGTGCTCCGCTGCCCGTCCCTTTCCCCTTCTCTCTTTCCCCCACCCACTCACCCACCCTCCTGCAGGACTCAGTGAGGGAGAGTGGGACAGTCGCTGCCATCACCGTCTCCCTCACTCTCTCCTCCATCGACCTCCTCACTCGCCCCTGCACTCCCCTCTACCCTCCTCACTCCCCTTCCTCGATCCTCCCCCTCTCTCCCCCCTCTCCCGACTCGCCCGTCCCCACTCATCCTGCTGTGGAGTTCATCCAACCCACTCAACCCACTCAACCCACTCACCCCACTCTTCCTGCTCACACCGCTCTCAAGCCTCCTCCCACATGGAAAGGAGGGGCGCTCACAGCAGGTGGTGCTGCTGATGGTGCTTTTGCTCCTCACGGTGATTATCAGCAGCATCAACGGCATCGCCGCTCCTTCTCTCTTGCTCCTGACGCTCTCAGCAGCCACACAGCAGCATCGTTCTCCCCTTTGCCCCCTCCTCCTGGCTCTGCCGCCGCCACCGCTGCTGCTGCCGCTGGCACTGCCTCTGCAACCGCTCACAACCCCCTTCAACACCTCAACAACAGTAGCAGCAACAGTGGTGCACTGCACGCAGCACACGCACACACGCGATCCCACAGCCACGGAGGCGGGCTGCTGCTACCCCCCTCACATCACGCCCAGCGGCCGCGAGTAGGACGCGCGCGAGCGGGCAGCGTGGGGGGCTGGGCTGACCTGACCACGCATGCCCTTCCTGGGTCAAGCGAGCGACACTGGTTTGATCACGAGGGGCACAGCCCGAGCTCCAACGACAGGCATGGCCCTTCCACCGCCCGCAGCACGCACAGCCAAGGCATGACGAGGGGTAAGGGGAGTGATTGGCAGCATGGGGGAGAGGGGAGAGCAGAGGGACGAGGAGGAGGAAGGGGAGGCAAGGCGGAGCAAGAGCAGGAGCAAGAGAAGGAGCAGCAGCAATCTTCCCTGTGGCCTTCCTCTGATGATCCCTCCGGCCCTCTTGCCTGCGTGGCCCTCGCTGCCTCTGACCCCCTCCGCCCCGCTTCTGGCGTCTCCTCTTTCACCCCCTCCTGGGACCCCTCCTCGCTACCTTTCTCCTGCCCGGCCTCCTTGGAATCTGCTTACTCTGCCGCCTGCCCGCCTACTATGGCGCCTGCTCCTGCTACAATACCAGCTGTGGCCGAATCCGTGCACCTTGGCTCGGCAGCGGTGTTGGATCCGGCCGGTATAGGTCCGGCAGGGCTGCCTGTAGACGAGCCCAGGACAGGTCCAGGGAGACCCGGGATGTTTGGCAGACGAGGAACGGAAGGGTGGGGGAAAGGGAGGATAGTAGAGGAGGGGATGGAGGATATGAGTGAGAACTCTTGGGAAGATGAACGGGGGAATAGGGCTATGAGGAGAGATGGAGAAGGAGCAGGAGGGGAAGAAGCACAAGGACAAGGGTGGAGCAAGCAGCGCGAGTGGGACAAGGAGCATGATGAGCGGTTCAGAGCGGTGCTGAGGATGGTGGGGTCGGGCACACAGGGCAGGAGGTTGCTGGGGGGCTTGGGGCTGGGCGAGCAGGTGCTGGCAGACCTGGCGAGGCGGTGGCGGTGGCGCGAGGTGAAGGCGCTCTCTGCCGTGCTGCGCCATGCTGTGGATGCATGGCAGGAGCATGGTGACATGGTGAGTGGCAGGAGCATGGTGACATGGTGAGTGGCAGGAGCATGGTGACATGGTGAGTGGCAGGAGCATGGTGACATGGTGAGTGGCAGGAGCATGGTGACATGGTGAGTGGCAGGAGCATGGTGACATGGTGAGTGGCAGGAGCATGGTGACATGGTGAGTGGCAGGAGCATGGTGACATGGTGAGTGGCAGGAGCATGCTGGCATGGTGAGTGGCAGGAGCATGGTGACATGGTGAGTGGCAGGAGCATGGTGACATGGTGAGTGGCAGGAGCATGGTGACATGGTGAGTGGCAGGAGCATAGTGACATGGTGAGTGGCAGGAGCATGGTGACATGGTGAGTGGCAGGAGCATGTCTCACTCACACCCATGCCCGCTGCGGCCTTGCCAATGCCAAGTCCCCCACTCACCCCTGGGCAGGCCATGCTGCCACTTTGGACAACACACATACGCTTTCTTTTTCACTCTCCCACTCCCTGGGCAGGCCAAGTCGCCAGCGCAGGACAGGCAGGCTCTTGCCTCTGCGTGCTCTCACGCGCCCAGAGCACTGCCTACGCCCCCTCCCCCTTGGATCTCTCTCTCTCTCTCCTTCAGGCCAAAGTCCCAGTGTTGCTCCCGCCCACTCACTCCCTTCCCGGGCAGGCCAAGTCACCAGTGGTAGACAGGCAGGCGGTGGTGGAGGGCTACCTGCAGTGCGCCTCTGCCTGCTCGCACGTGCCCGACCTGCACCTGCTCTTCCTGCTGCGCCTCGCCCTCGCCCACCGCCACCTCGACCCCCTGGGAGGCGCGGCGGAGGCGGGGCAGTGCTGCGTGGCCGCTGCTGCTGTGGCGCTGCAGTACCTGCTCGCCCTCCGCCCCCACCCGCACCCACCCCGGGATCACCCTAGCACAGATGGTGGCGAGGGTGATGATGGTGCCATCGGCGCCCGCAGTGTCACCACAAGCACCACCACCACCACCGCCACCAGCAGCAGCACCGCCACCACCAGTAGCACAGCCACGATGGGTGCAGACACGAGAGGCAATGAAGCAGTCGGCGAGGCAGTGGTGGCAGCGGGGTTGTTCTCTCGCGGTGGAGGGCAGCGCAGCAGCGGGGCCGTGTGGGGGCAGCAGCACGTGGCGGCGCTGGCCCGAGTGTGCCCCGACCTGCCCCTGCTCGCCCCGGGGCTGCTCCAAGCGGACACCAACCGAGCCACTGTGAGGAGCAAGAGGAGGAGCAAGGGGGGGCAGAAGAGCAGTGGTGGCAGCGGTGGGAGCGGAGAGGAGGAGGAGAGAGTGGTGGTGGCGGGGCGAGTGGCGGGGTTTCTGCATGTCAACCCCCTCTTCATTGCCTCTCTCCTCGAGGAAGCTTCCTCTCTCTTCGCCTTGGCCGGCCTGCATTCTTTCGCCGTCCACCTGCAGGAGCTGCTGCTGCCCTTCTGGAAAGAGCAGGGAAACTTTTCCGCAGCTTCCCGCTGCCACCGGCGCTTAGCCGCCTCATACCTGCTGCTGACTCAGAGGCCGGGGGGTGGCGGGGAGGAGGGGGTGAGGGAAGGCGGGTGCCAGCAGTCCCTCCAGTCGAGTGTGCACGGTGCGAGCTTCTTCCTGGTGGCCTTCTATGGCGAGCGGTTTGGGCCGGGGTTCAACGGACGGCAGTTCGTGTACAAGGAGCCGCGGTGGGTGGGGGCACGGCACAGCGTGGTGGGCTGGGCTTATTGGAAGGCCAGCCACAGCGAGTAGGCAGAGTGTGCTGATGGGAAGCTGAAGGGACGTGCCATTTGCGGTCAACTGTGAATACAGTCAACCGTGAATACAGTCAACTGTGAATACAGTCAACTGTGAATACAGTCAACTGTGAATACAGTCAACTGTGAATACAGTCAACTGTGAATACAGTCAACTGTGAATACAGTCAACTGTGAATACAATTCCGACAGTCACCATGCTCCATGCGCCGCACTCCATGCTCCACGCTCAACCCGATTCTCTTCCTCCATCCCTCCTCTCCTCCCACATCTCCCTCCACCCCCACCTCTCTCCTCAGAGGCACGGCAGTGTCTGACATCTGCGGCTAGACTGTCAATTTCTTTTGAACATTCGTTATGATCCACGCTCCATGCTCCACAATCAACCTGCATTTCTCCCTCCACCCCTCCCCCCCCCACCCCCCCCCAGAGGCACGGCAGCAGGGGACCTGGTGAGGCGGCTGAAGGGCATCTACGCCCGCATCCTGGGCAGCAGCACCTCGCTGCGCATTATCACATCGCCCATAGTCACGCCCGACGACCTGCGCAACTCACAGCTGTGCACCGTGCAGGTCGTGCCAGTCTACCCCACCCCAGTTGACCCTCCCCCAGGCCTGCCTGAGGGGGAGGAGGGGCTGAGGGAGGGCAAGGAGGGCGCGGCGAGGGGCGACCTGGACGAGCTGTTTGGCGCCAGCGGGGGCGGCAGCGGGCCTCTCAGGAGCTTTCAGTTCAGCATGCCGCCTTCGGCTCTTGCAGCTGCTGCTGCTGCTGCAGTTGAGGGGCTGGTGGAAGGGGGGGGCGAGGGGAGAGCGGGGGAGGAGGTGATGAGGCTGCTGGAGCTGGGATTTGGGGGCGCTGCGGGGGCAGGCTATGGCATGGGCAGCGAGGGTGTGGGGGATATTTCCAGCGACATTGTGAGTGGTACTGCATTCGGGCGGGGGGCGGTGTTCCCTGTGTGGCGGCACCGCATGGTGCTGACGGTGCATGCGCGCTTCCCGTCCCTGCAGCTGCACCTGCCAGTCGTTGCCACCCACAGCAAGGAGGCGTCCCCTCTGGAGCTCGTATTGGACGAGAGCGTGCAGTGGACCCGGCGCCTTACCCAACTGGTCGCCACGTGGCGCGCTAAGACTGGCCGGAGCTTGGAGGGAGATGGTGGGAAGGACAGGGGAGGGGGAGGGGAGAGGAGGAGAGAGAGTGGTGTGCGAGGGTATGATTTGGATGAGGATGATGTGTTGTGGGGGATGGGCGGGAGGGGGCGGCGGGGGCGGCGGAGCGGGAGCATTGGGGGAAAGGGAGAGAGGAGTGGGCTGTGGCGTGTGCTGCTGCAGGTGGCAGCGGCGAGCCTGGATGCCATGCACGAGGTGCGGGCGCTGCAGCTGCTGCGCTCCCTCAAGGAACGACCTGCTGGGGGCGGAGGGGGAGGAGGGAGTGAGGGCACAAACGAGGCAGGAGAGGCCTGTACAGACACGGGCACAGGGCTAGGGACAGAAAGAGTTAGAGGAGCAGAAGGAAGTGGAGAGGTGGGAGGTGCAGGCGAGGAGAGGAGAAGCGGGTCGCGGTGGGCGGAGGGTCTGGCGAGCCGGCATGTGGCGCGGGCCATGGGGGAGGTGGTGGCGGCGGCAGAGGCGGCACGGGAGGGCGTGGAGGGCGTGGGGAAGCCGATGGCGCCGCTGCTGGCGTGGCTGGAAGACGCTGCTGACGCCACCCCGCCTGAGACCCTTGCTGCCCTCGCTAGGTACGGGCTGCTGGATGGGGGAGGTGGAGGCGAGGGAGTGTGGGAGGCGAGGGGTGTAGAAGTTAGGTGCGGGGATGAGGGTTCTTCTGCTGCTGCTGCAGCTGCAGATGGTGCTGCTGATGGCGATGCCACTCCTTCCTGCGCTCATCCCACGCCAAGGGAGCTGGCCCGAGCGAGAGAGCAGCGCGAGGCAGAGCGGGAGATCGCAGCAGTGGCAGCGCTGGCAGCGGCGGCAGCAGCAGGAGGGGAGGAGGCGGTGCGAGTGGGCAACGCGCTGACGGACTATGTGGAGGCGCTGAGTGCGGTGGTGCAGGCGCATGAGAGGGAGATGGGGTGGGGGGACGAGGAGGCACACGAGGAGGTGAAGGCGCGGGCCAAGGGGGTGATGGAGGAGCTGTACCTGTACGTGCCTGGCATACGACCATGGGACCTGGTGTGACGAGCATCCATGCGTGGGGACAGTGGATGCAGGCACTGCAGGTGCGGCAGGTGTGGTTTGAGGTGGAAGCGGGGGGTAGCTAAGAGGCTTGGGGAGGGGAAGAGCCATTTTTTTACATTCTTGGAATTCAAGCCCCATTGGCTTGATGTGATCATTGTGGAACGCAAAACTTCATCTATTATGACGTGATTTATCATGAGAAGGTTATGGCTGAGGCCAGGGCTTCGTTTTGGATTTGGCCTACTCACGATTGGCAGTGTAGTTTTTTAAAAAACCCTTATGGGCAGTGTGTACTTTTCCGTTACACTGATAGAGCAGTGTAACATCAGGTTTTGATTTTTTTACCCTGCATCATCAGTGTGGTTTTTTTTCGAACACTGACAGATGTTCGCAAAGTCTTGTGGTTAGACCTAGTGCAGGCAGCAATACTGTAGTTGCTGCCAATGTTCGGTTTCGTGGCGTGCTGGCTGTTGAGATAATATCGAGACGTAAAGCACTTCAAGGAAATTCGTGTAGTATAGTAAAGTACCGATAGGCTGACGTCAGCAAAGCGCTACGCGACCTAGGATGACGTCAGCACGTAGCTATAGACTTCGCGAATGGTTACGTACCGTTTCAAGATAAGAATAGCACAGTACAGTAGGCGATCAGGTACTTTACTCTAGCTATATATTTTGTATGTTTGTCATTTTATAATATATCTGATTTCAGAGACATTTTGATCCTGAAACATATCACTACATAGACTTTATTAAGTCTAGACAAAGCCTTCACAACAGGCTTAACTGATATAAGACTTCCGCTAAGACAGGAAGTTACCATCCTAAGTAGTACGATCCTACAAACTCACTTCAAATTCTAACATGGTATTGCGAGCGTCTTAGGATACTACAAACTTCCAACTACATACTCTACAACTATGTCTGGATCTCCACGGTCCAACAACGGCTCTTCTGTTACGAGCCCATCACGCCCAACAGCGTCTCCAGCTGCTGATAATTCAAATCTGCAGCAACAACAACAACAACAACAATATCAGCAACAACCGATGTACGGCATGCCACTGAGCAGTCAGCCTACACACACAACTGCAGCAGCGTCATCATCGACAGCAGCCACAGCATCAGCAGCCACAACAGCTGCAACTGGTTCTTCTAGTCAACCAGGACAACAGTCCAGTTTCGTACCAACTGGACCTTATCAATATCAAGGTGCTTACCAGCCAACAAATCTTCAACAGCGTGTCAATGCTGCCGTCTTGTCACTTAACCAAATGTTTCCAACTCCTATGAGCCTTGATGGTTCCAGTTATCAGCATGGACAGATGCCACAAGGAAGCGACGGGTCGAATAACTCTTTTTCTTTCGTTCCTGCTGGACAAGGACAACAAGTACCACAAGGGTCACAGATGCCATCACTTTATCAGCTGCAATCAGCTGACGGTACCGGAAACTATCTTCCCGCTTCTGCAAACCCAACAAAAATTAAAACGACTGTGCCTTTTAACGGTCAAGACTTTTACACCTGGAGCTTTGAATTTGAGCTTCTTGTTCAGACCGCGGGATTCTGGCAGTTGTTCGACGGCACAGCACCCTTTCCATCTCACGGGTCACCACTTCAACAGGCCACTTTTCGATCGGCGTCGCTGACTGCATACACAGTTCTCGTTCGCAATCTGACACCGACTGAACAGCTTGGCATTCGTTCTTTTCGTACCAGTGCTGCTCCTGCTGAAGCAGCTTGGTTATATCTGCAAGGGGTTCATATGGCAAAGGACACTGTCAACCAGAGTAAAATTTTGACGAAGCTGTCAAATATACAGATGATAAACGGCGAGAAAGTGACGCAGTATATCAACCGCGCTCGAAATTTGCGTGATCAACTTCAGAAGTGTGGAGGGTACTTCCCCGACGCTATGTTTCACACGGTGCTACTCGCGGGTCTTGGACCAGAATGGCGACAGTGTCGCTCTATACTTCGGATGCAAGCACAGTTGTCCGAGGGAGCACTCTGTGCCGCTCTCATTGCCGAGCACCAGGATATGGACCTGCACAACGCTCGAGGAGGGAAAAAGGTGGTAAACAACACAGTCAGTTTTTACTCTAATCCACGTCACAAACCCGTTTGTTCCTTTTGTCGCAAAGCAGGACATACTATTGATACCTGCTGGTCGAAAGATAAACCATCTTGGAAGCGGACTACACCGAAACATTCCAAAGATTCTTCAGGTGAAGCTGAGAAGCAGGAAGCTGAGAAGCAGGCAGCCGAGAAGCAGGAAGCTGTGAAGCAGAATACTGCGAAGCCGAACTCTGCGAAGCCGCCTACTACACCTGCCAAGACACAAGCGAAAGAAGTTATTAATTGTATGACGTCAGCTTCTACAGTCTACGATCCTGACGCTGAGGAACGTATTCACAATAACTTCAATGATGAACTCAACACGCCCATACCACCCGAGGTCTACGCCAACCTTGCACATACCTTGGAAGGGCCCAACACTTGGTATCTTGACAGCTGTTGCGGCCAGCATATGTGTTCATCAGAAAATCGCTTCGTCATCAATCAGCGTCGTCTTCAGAATCCATGCGTTGTAACCGTCGCCAACAATCAACGTCTTACAGCGCACTGGATGGGTAACGTCATTCTCGATTCTGTTGACGAAGACTTCAGTCTTCATCTTAACGATGTACTCCTCGTTCCTCGACTTGGCTTCAATCTGATGTCATCTGCACAGCTCATGAGGAATGGCATTACTCTTCTTGGTGAACCGGGCAAGTTTACTTTAAAATATGGAGACAAGAAACTCGGCACGGCAATTGAACAAAACGGTGTGTTCGTTCTCAACTTCGTACCTGAACGCACCACTGCCGACTCCGAGAATATTCTCTCTCTTGGCCCATGGGAACATCGTGATGACATCGATTACACCGATGATACCGTTCCTCGTGATGGAGTTGTACCCACGTCTTCGACCACGGCTGCCGCAGTCATGCTGACCTTCGACAATCAAGGTTTGAACGACGTCCAGAACTCCCGAGATTATCTTACTGGTGGTTGGGGAGATACGACGAATATGCCCACGGGTGAAGGCACTTGGGGGGCACAGGAACCTGACGAGACTACTTGGGGAGAAACACCTGCTGATCGTGATCGACGTCTTCTCACTGAAGCAGAGCAGCGTGTCGCTGAAATGGACATCCTCGACTCCGGACGACTTGTCGGCGTTGAGCCTAAACCTGCAGCATCAGATCAAGAGAGCGGGGAATTAGTTCTTTCACCAGGCGAATCCGTCGACCCTGAAGCAAGGGAGTCAGGGAGGCGGGTGACTAGGTAGAAAAGGGTGATGTACATGGAGGGGGGGTTCTTGGCACAGAACTCAGTGGGAAGCGCAGCTCGGTAGCGGGCGTCACTAGTGCGAAGGTGAGCAACTAGGTCAGCGACAGTGGCAAAGGCAGCAAAGTCAGGGAAAAGGTACGGCAGCATGAGGCGGCTGAGGGCAGCAGTGGCAGGGGAGGAGTAGCGTGCAACTACAGCGTCGTACAAAGACTGAGGAGTCTTGTACTGGCCAAAGTGCGCGCGCTCAGCAGGCGGCAGGTGGCTACGAACAGCAAGACGAGCAACAGCGTCACGAGTGGTCCACTGCGAGCGAACAGTACTGTCAGCAGTGGCAGCAGGAGCAGTGGAAACACCTGACGTGTGATCGAAAAGGGATACCCCATCCCTAGAATCACACTGAAGAAAGAGCTGTAGGTCGTCAACCCACACGTCAAAGTCAACTGCACGTCCCTCAGCATCAAAGGTGAGAACGGTAGGACTAGCCATAGCAGCAGTAGGAGCAGAAGCAAGAGTAGCAGCAGTGGCAGCAGAAGCAGAAGTAGCAGCAGGAGCAGCGCAGGCAGGGCAGTGCGGCTCAGTAGGGCGGCACGGCTTGGTAGGGCGGCGCATCTTAGCCGGGCGGCGCGGCTCGGCTGGGCGGCGCGGCTCGGCTCCTGGTGGCGCGGCGCGGCAGGGCGGCGCGGGTGCTTACCAGGGGCGGGTGCAGGGCAGGGCCGCAGCCGGCGGTTTAGGTCAAGGCCGCGACTGGGGCAGCAGCAGGGCAGGGCCACGACGGGCGGCGAAGGCAAGGCCGCAACTGGGGTGGCAGCAGGGTAGGGCCGCAACAGGGCGGCAAAGGCAGGGCCGCGACGAGCGGCGACGGGCCAGCAATGGGCGGCTACGGGCCGGCGACGGGCGGCAACGGGCCGGGACGGGCCGAGATGGGCCGGGACGGGCCAGTGACGGGCGGCGAAAGGCAGGGCCGCGACTGGGCGGCGGCAGGGCAGGGCCGCAGTGGACGGCGAAAGCAGGGCCGCGACGAGCGGCTAAGGGCCAGCGACGGGCGGCGACGGCCAGCGACGGGCAGCGACGGCCAGCGACGGGCGGCGAAAGCAGGGCCGCGACGGGCCAGCAAAGGCAGGGCCGCGACGGGCCGTACTAGGGCAGGGCGCGAGGCGCGCTTCGGGCAGGGCGCGAGGCGCGCTTCGGGCAGGAAAAGATAAATCGTGGTGGGTCTTAAAAAAACGTTCCCACTAGGGAACCTGCTCAAAATACCATGTCAGAATAGTGAACGAATGAATGACTGAATTAGCAAGCAGGTAGGTACAAGTAGGAAACCTAAAAGTGTTGTACCCTATATGAACTACCCCACTACAGCCTAAACAGACTAGAGCATATAAGTTTGACAAGTGCCTGCCCTAGTACACTATAGTTAACCAAACAAAACTGTACAATTTCGAGTTTGATAAAACTGAATCTGCGCATTCAATTCAACCAAACTGCAAAGCTTCCATCTTGGGTTCCTTTGCAAGCTCGTCCTTTCTGGTTGCACTATTCATAGCGCGTACAATGTTGTGCCGAAGCGCACATTACGCGAGTACCTGCAAATGCATCAAGCAAAAATTTCGACAGCAAACAAACACACGAACATTCCATTCACACCCAAATGCATTCGCACACGCATA